TAGGTACTGTCTTCTCATTATTGTTCCTTTTACATTTTTGTATACAAAATTACTATGCAAGAAACTCGTTGTTGGCTAATGAGTTTGTCAAAGTTTCCTCCTTGGAGAGTAGAGTAAGAACCTAATTTTATCCATAAAATCTTGGCCATTATAAGGTCAAATCAGTTGTCAAAAACTTTCAAGCAGTTGGACAGATTTAAGCCCTTGTTGGGTTTGATCAAAAAGGTTGATAAAAATTGAAGTTAAAGTTAATAATTAATTTTAATCATACATGTTAAGTAATTCACAAATACCGCTCACAATTCACTTCTACTTATTTATAAATGAATAATGTAAAATATTTCTCATGGTTATACTCTGCAGATTCATTTTGAAAATTTCTCATATATTCAGAGTAAAGTCTCTTGAGATTTTATTTTTTCAGACGCATTTTAATTGGGCATACAACTACTATCTATTTATAAATTAATCTGTTTATAAATTCTTCATAAAAGGAGGCTAATATCAAAGAAACCTTAAGGACCAAAGTATTACTGCCCTTAACATTGGGAGGACCACGCTACAAATTCTCCAAAGCAATGTGAACATTATTAGGCCAATGAAACGACGTAGCTCATATCTTTTGCCCTAATTATTCAATTTATTCAAATTTTTGCAGTATTTTCATGTGAACTCCGTCTTTATCATTGTATTAAAATGCGATGGGTTTATAAATGTAGCAGCAGTTCAAGAAAGTGAGAGCGAAAGAAGATAACAGTATAACAACATCTGACGAATGAGTGCAGGTAAATGTTTGTCACTTTATCTTGTTAGGGTTTACGGTATTATAATCTCTTTTTCATTTTCTACTTATTGAAAATTTCCTGAACAAATGTGAAAAATCAACGTTTCATTTCTGAATGTAAGTATATTCAATCGTATTAAAAGATTGTTCTTTTTCTGTTTTGTTTGAACCCTTGTTTTAATTTGAGATTTTCGATGCCGAATTTTTTAGTTGTAAATTTTTCAACTGATTATTTGAGTGCTAAAAATAATTAGAGATAAATAAAAAGTTTTAAACAAATTATTGCTGGTATTCTCATTGTTAAAGTTAATTGTCAAGTTGGTCATTTAATGCAAAATTGGGGAAAAAAAATTATGTGCAAATTAGCTTAAACAATTCAAGTACAATGAGACTGGAGCTCCTTTCTTCCCCCTTTCTCCTTCATTTACTTGATTTAGATTCTCGGGTTCATCAATCGGAGGGCCTTCAATTTTATGTAGTACAAAGATTGTTTTGGCCTGTGGATTCAGATATACTCAATGAATGTTCAAATCCACGAGATTCTCTTCGTGTGCATGTTTTTCGTAGGTGCGTTGAATTAATATTCCGTGCTGAATATGCAGGGGGAGCATTTGGTGGAAATAGAGGATTGAGTCCAGTACCACCGGAAAAAGGAGTATTCCCTCTAGACCACATGCATCTCTGTGACCAGGTACAACAGCAATGAAAGTTGTGTTAGAAATTTTCTTGTTGGATGCAGGATTGGACCTATTGACCGCAGCAGGCCATAGGGCCAGGGGTGGAGTTGACTAACAACCAAAACAATTTCTGTCGATCATAGGGCATATAATGCTACCCTACTGAATTCAAAGCATGCTCTTCACTGGAAAGGGGGGCGAACACCATGACTCAGACCTATCATTTGTTCAATTTTGTAGATCTAATATCTTAGTTTAGATTATTTGCTTGTGGTTTGATAAGATTTAGGATATTAGATTTGCTGATATACATGACAAGTCTATGTTTTCTTATTCGGTGTTTTGGTTGTTCCAGGAGAAGAAAGATTATATCAATTGTCTAAAATCTGCTGGCCATAAATCTGAAAATTGTAGACACCTCTCCAAAAAGTACCTCGAATGTCGTATGGAGAGGTAAGTTTATCGGTTTAACCTTTGTTTCAAGGTAATTGTGTTCCGGTCTTGTCCACATCTTTATATCATATCTTTTTCTTATCATTTCTTCTTATAATTAGCCATTTTCTAATGAAACCTTTCTAGTTTACAACTGCTAAGCTGTAGTGTAACTACAGATATTTGAGAAAATTCTGTAGCACTTCAAGTTATTGTTCTAAATCACATTATGATTCGTTCTTACTGATTTTTCTGTCTAGTTGAAGTCATATAGCCATCAAGTTGTTAGTGCTGATTTAAGGCCGTTAATTAAATAAATTTTTCGTGGGGGCCTTTTCAGGAACTTGATGGCGAAGCAAGATATGTCGGAGCTTGGATTTGCAAGGGAAGCCACAAATGAAGAATAGATAAATGAAGAAATAATATTGAGTTTCACACACAAAGCATTTGCTGAATGATGAAATAAAAATACTTTGTATTATTTTTTGATCTAGCCTTGTTGGGCTCCTCTTTTTGTGTTTGTGTTTGTGTTTGTCTGAGTAGCCAACTGAACCTAGTGAAAGCAATTTGGGGTAGGATTTTCTTTCTTATAATTTGTAATTGAAAATCAGGTCAAAACTGTTCATTGAGATCCTCCTAGGTGTTGTTCCAGTGAGTTAAAACATATCGATAAAGTAGCAATAGATGAAAATATAATCCAATATAATGATACGCCAACAAATTATGGGCAAAAATCAATTAATACTGAATGGGGTATTAAAAATCTAACACACAATTTTGAATTTAGTTAACCAAGTAAGAAATATTCCTAAATCAAAATTTAGAAAGCTTTTATTGATAAACGTCAGACAAAAAGCTGGAGTAGCTCAGTTGGTTAGAGCGTGTGGCTGTTAACCACAAGGTCGAAGGTTCAAGCCCTTCCTCTAGCGGTTGTTCATTGGTCGAAGGTTCAAGCCCTTCCTCTAGCGGTTGTTCATTTTTTCCAATTCGGGCCTGCTTGACCAACTGATTACTCCTATATTGTTGGTAGGATGGCGATGGGTCCAATAATCAGTCAGGCTTATTAAAAATTGTCAATAACAGAAATATTTATCTTTAAACATGTTTATATTTTAATTTTTCTTGCTTTTGGGTGAATTTTTTTATTTATTTATTATTTATTATTATTATTATTATTTTTGGTTAGGAGATGAAAGGAAAGAATGGCAAATTTAAACGATAAACTTCTATAAATATTGTTTTCTATATAAACAAAATTGAAAATCAGATGACATGTTTGGAAAGTAAATAAAAAATTGAAATTTAATAAGATGTAAAATGTTACTGCTGATTATACAAGTGGTTGCAAAAGTCAGTCTGCAACTAAAAGCAAAGCAGAATATCCCCAGGAGAGGCACTTTTTGCTTTAGCCTTGTCCTCTTCTCTTTGTTAAACATCAATTCCATACCATTCTTGTCAAGCAGGAGACCACATTATATCATGAATCCAAGAACACAAATTCCAAGAATTTTTCTTCTTGATTAGTAGTAGTTTTAACCATGGTTTGCCTACTGGGATTCTTGTTTCAGTGCAAGAATTCTTCTGTCGAATCGTACCTTGTTTCGGCGTTGATAGTCGTTGGCATTCTTGTGGCTCTTCGTCTGCTGTGTCATTGGATCCGGCTGCTGCTGAAAAATGATGACTCCAGTAGCGATCAAGGCTCGAGTGAAGGTGTTGAGATGGAGCCACGAATTCCACGAGGCCTATTTTCGCATCAGTCGTGATATATATCATTACTCAAAAAGCTCATTCCATTGCTGTAATTTTTCCAATATCAAGAATATTACCAGATGATCATAGAAGAGCCCTTCAACCAAGTGAAGTGGTCGAAGAAAGTTTCACTCGTGTTTCTTGCTTAGTATCTGTCAACAATTGTTGTAAATTCTTCTTTCCAACAACTTAAGAACTATGATATGATATTCAATGATTTCAATCTTACGCACTTTAATTTCTCGCGTCATTCGCGCATTATCGACTAATGACAACGCTTCACTAATGTAGCTTTTCGGGACAAAATTTGATCAGCGCGTTTTTTTATAAATTAATGACTTTTTCTTGAGATATCTTTTTCTTACTCATTTTCTAGCAAGAAAAAGAGAAAAAGTGAGTCAGAAAAAGTGAATAAATATGCAAGGTAATAATAGACCTCTCTTCAGCGTAATGCACATAATAAATACTCGACTACAAATTATGCCTGAGAATGAGACTAGAATTCAAAACATTTATATGTTGTTACATAAGTACACAACTTAAGTTAATTACTTCAATGAGACTGGATAAACAACCGTGTCCTAAAGGAAGCTCGAAATAGCCTTGATCATTCTGCGAGGAATCTCGAATTTGGCTTGTGTTCCTGAACTGCCATACTTTGAGGACTCCCTCGAGACTACCTGTGCAAATGGTGAAACCCTCATCGCTATTCTCCGATACGCGTTCGGGAAAGGCAGCCACGCACCTTATAGGTCCTCTATGACCCTGCAGCACACCAATGCACAGTGGAGATTATGAATTTATGGTGTTCTTGACAAGGTGGATTTTACCAAAAAAATGATACAAAGATAGAAAAATTTAATATCTTAATTTGTCAATCTCCTAGACCAATAAATATAAGGCAAGAGTGCAGGACTAGAACCACATGTGATGTTAAAAAGATATATGATGTTGCAATTTTTTCGTTGTTTTGGGGGTAGAAGAGTAAAGTGGACTGGACTTTGAACGCAAATGGATGTGTTGATCTTTTGAATTTGAGTCATGCTACTTGTACAAAATTAGTTGACATAATTGGTTTACAAAACAATCATTTCAAAAACACTCATTGAAATCATTTGAAATCAAATGCCAAGAAGTCAACACTTGTTTTGTCAACTTATTTCGTACAACTAAATTAATTGTTTGAATTTTCTCAAGTCACATGGAGTTAAGTACTTGGGTCACGTCAATAGAATAAACATGGCCAATTCACTTAGGAAATTTATTAAGCGAAAGGATGTACACCTAGCATTTCTCATTCACTTAGCCCAGTACGCTCATTTTTTTGTTCCTTTAAAAAATGGCATTGTCCATGCAGCCCACAAACCTAGAGAATCAGGTGAAGCGGTGACTTGCCTCTCCATTAAGATTAGTCCTTTTTACGGCTCTAGGATGAACTAGTGAAGTCCAACTTAATACACGATCAATTGACAACACTAAATTAGTCTGACCCAACGTGGGATAGTTCAGTCTTTTTTGACAATACCTCTAAATATATATTTGGTAAAATTTATAATTATTGATAAGCTGGTTGAATTCTATCATTTCTATGCAAGAACTACAACTTTTATCCACTTATTATTTACATGTTTAGTACAACGTACAACTTATAATCTAATGAAAGTTTTGTCAAGCATGCTTCAAATTAGTTCGATCTTTTTGACCCCTTTAGAAGGAATCAATCAATCATGGTCCATGTCGGGTCATGCCACTATCGTTTGAATTGGTGAGTAAGGTGGCAATTGGGCTCGTCGGCTAGAGCCGTCCATGGCCTAGCTCGAGGCTTGCTGGCTTGGGCCTGCTGCCTTTATTTGAAAACAAAAAAATCGAGCATGCTCGACTCAGCTATTTTAGGCCCAAGCCTTAATTTTTTGTCCGAGCTTTTACTCGGCTCTGTTCAAGCTCGTAAAAAAGCTCGGACCATGTTACTCAAGTCAAGCTTGAGTCTCGAGTTTTGACTCGCAAGCTGACTCAATTCGACTCGTTGACACCACTATGGGAGGGAGAAAGTTGCGTTGGGTGTTAGGAGACGAATCCAAGACCTGGAAGCACATATCCGTTTGAATGCGGGTCTCGAACTTACCTCTGGCCCATTCTCATTTTGGGCCTAATCATCATTGTAATATATTCTTTAACTATTCATTATCGCGATTTGGTCTGTATCTCCCTCTCCTCCTTGGATCACATCTTGAGGTTGCTGTTCTTCGGATTCGATGGGTGGGAATCGGATTACGGATCCTCGGTGTTCCATGGTGTAAGTTTAAATTTCATATTTATTTCAAAATTTCATTTTTTTGTTGATGTTCGTGATTTAGAGGTTTTAAAGGTCCGAATTTTGGATAGTGGATGCACATTTTCCCGGTTTTAAGGGTAATGTGGATGAATTTAAATCTGCTGTTAGATCATTCGTTTTAGATCTTATTTGGTTGATGAAACATCTTAAGCTAGTCTATAATTTCATTTGGAAAATTCTAATTATTAAAGTTCATTTGGAAAATTCTAAAATGCATTCTCGTCATATTAAAAAATTAATCTAGTCCGAGGGCCTGAATTCACTACAACATCAACAAATTTCAAATTTGTGACACCGACTTCAATGTTGATGGAAGAGGATCCGGCAGTATCAGGTATTGCCATAAATGCCTAGTTTGTCATGTACTTAGCTCAACCAACTAGACCAAAGCTCGAGTGATCGAGTGTAAGCTCGACCATCTCCAGTACTTCGTCCACCTCAATCAAATGTCAGAGTTGCTCGAGTATAAGATTGATCAACTAGATTGGCTCAAGCAACTTGACAAATGGTCTAAATAAAAGCGATTTAACAAGGGATGATGGTCATTTTTAATTAGATAAATTAATCTTTTGGTCTATAGAAAGGCCTTAAAAGAGAACAATGAAAGATGACCAATTTTCACTTTGGCCTACAAAAGTAAACTGTTTTAAAAGCTGAAGAAACATGTTAATTAATTTTTGATCATGTGACACTACCTTACTGAAGTCTCAAGAGCTTAAGTTAAGCTACCCCTATTTCTTGTATGCTGATTAGTAAATTTCAGATTTATTAGCTAGTAGTGTAATGAAATCTTGGAGCTTGGTTTTGTTCATTGAGTAAATAAAAATTTTGCTTGATTACTTTTTAATATTAGTGGACGACTCAAAGAATCATGATTGCGTGTTATTGTTCTTCGTCACTTTCTCATGAGGATTGGTTGAATCGGCATTCCCTACATGTATTCCTATTTTTCTACCGTTTAATGCAAAGATTATGTCATTTTGTTATATCTGGTAAAGATTTAATTTTTTATGTTTTGTGCCTTAATTTCTCCTTATCAAAAGGCAGATCGAGACATGGAGAAACTGTTGAATGGACATCCATGGATTTGCTTAAAGGTTTTGAAGAATTTGTTCCGATAAATGAGACACGACCCATCAAGAATAACATGCATGGTATGGGTTTGGACCAGAGCTTTGGGCTTTGGTCTATTACACAATGGCTGAAGCCAGACTTGATGATTGAGAGTGGCGCTTTTAAGGGGTATTCAAAATGAGTTTAAAGGCAAGCAATGCCGGGCGCACCAATTGTATCACTTTTACCTCGCCATCCAGGGAAGTACCTTAAGAAAGGGCCTGCTTATGTTGTTGGAAATTGCACTTACTTCGCCGGAAAGGACTTTATAGATTTTGGAAGCATGGATTGGGGCAAAATGATGGATAAACATGGAATCGAAGATCTCAATCGGGTTCTTGTTTTCTTTGATGACCACCAGAATGAACTCAAAAGGTAATCTTTGTTTCGGAAATTCAACAAATCTTCTCCAGTATTGCTTCTTAAAGCAGTAGCCATACAGTACAAGTCAGAGATAATTTATTCTGCATTTATTGATATTAATCACAACATTAAATTGCTTAGCTTCCAATTGGCTGCCAATTTATAAGTCAACATCAAACTTTAACTTCAACCACATATTGTAGCTACTATTCATTTATTATCCACACACATTTTGTGGAATTCACTACTATTCCTCTTCGTAAATGATTCATGAATTTGCCGATGGAGACTTGATAGCTTTTATTTAAATTTGATACTGTGATGTGCAGATTAAAGCAAGCCCTGAAAGCTGGTTTCAAACATCTTGTATTTGAGGACAACAACGATCCTGGAACAGGGGACCGCTATTCCTTCAGGAAAATATGTGATCAATTTTATATAAGAGGTTTTCTCTCTTTTACTTCATAATTTGTAAATCCTGATCACTATAAATGTCTTGACTAGTCATTAGTTGTTCAAAAACACACTGTTGGGTCTGCCTAAATATTTTATAGATTGCCAAATTTCATTATATTCCTACTTTTAGTATGGATATTCTACCTATCCCATATATAAAGACATAAGTAGTCGGTCTTGTTGATTTTTGAAACGAAAATGCTATTTGGCTAACTCAGATTATGTACAAGAAAATAAGAAAGCATAGAGAACATGTCAAAGGGTGTGGCATGTTAGGTTAAGCTTTCAAAAAAGTTACTTTTGAGCTTCTTTTTGCCATAATTTGTTTTCCAAGTTACTGTTTTTACTGAACACAATTTTTCTTGTGAAAAGTCTTGACAGTACTGGATTTAATGGATACACTCAAATGGTATACCTCCAGGTTTCTGAAAAAGATTCTTAATTTTGACATATCTCGAGTTTTATGTTTACAGTGCATGTAGTTTTGGTTCTGTTAATATAAGATTTCTTCTCGTTGCCGTTCAATTTTGTTCAAAATATATGATTTTTCTGCTTTCTTCCTTGACTTTTACGGTCTTCCTTGAAATTTTTCATTCCGCCCCAAATGGCACTTGGCAATTAACAAGCACAAGACACAGAATTGCAATCAAACATGCAGTTCATTTACACATCAATTCAAGTTGAATCATACATATTCAGAACATATACTACTAGCAAAACCTTTGGACTTCCGACTAATTTCTGCTCGGAAGCCAGTACTTCCAACAAGACATACTACATCTAAATTCAGATGAGTGATACAGAAAACTCTTTTGGGGGGCTTCACGCATTCCTCATTCTGATACTTCATGCCTAGCTTTGGTTCCTGCACTTCTGCATGGCCCTCGGAGCTGCAAACATCAATTTATTCAATTTATACGGAATTCAATCCTTTCAACAGTTGGTGAATGTGATTTAAGTGCATTGCTCTATCTATACAGAGATAGGAGACCGGAAAAGATAATCAGCTGTCAAATCATACCTAGCCCGGTTGCATCTGAGCCTTTCATGATTCTTAATCTCTTGCAAGAATCAGTGAACATCCTAAAAGCAAAAGAGAAGATCTTGTAAATTCTTAGCGCTTAGGATATAACAATATGAAACACTGAATCGATACAAAATAAAATAGGTATCTTCAAATTTGTGCAGAATATTTAAGACTTACTCCCACGGAACATCACCAACAAGCATCCAGTCACCATCCTTGTCTTCATAAGTCAGCACGTATTCAGAGCCGTGGAGAAGATTCTTTAAGCAATTCTCTCTAAGATGCTCTTGCCCGGGAAGTCCATGAGAGGCATATTGCCCTAGATCACAAAGAAATGAACCTTCAGAAAGAGATTCAGCCTGTGTTTGGCTCATTATTTCTAGGTATTTATAAACACCTTGTTCAAAAAACAATTTTTGACAAACCACATTTTTTTCCACAAATTTTGTAGGACCTACAAGTACTACCCACCTCTCCACCACTCATTGACCGACTGTTTATAAACACCTTGCCAGATGTACCCTAAATTCAGCGGAATTTTATTAAATTATATTTAGTTAACTTAGAAATTTTCACTCAATGCATAAACGATGGCAAAATATCATGCCAGGTATAATATTCAAAAGATGCTAACTACAGCTAAGTTTAAAAAGTTTACTTTAAGTAAATAAGTCCTAAGATAAATAATCTTTAGCAGTCAAAATAGAAAAGAGTAACTTACTCAACATGTTTGGAAACACAAATTTATTTAAAAGTAACTTTTTAAGCTATAGCCAAACATGCTAGAAGTCAAAACCCTATATCGTTAATTAACTTCAAGTTAGAGGGAAGTGTCAACATGGGGGACCTCAAGAAACAGGAAACGAAATTTCAGATGGATATAGAAGTACTACACAATCTGATATAGATAAGAAATTTTGTTGTATGACCCTATCAGAAAACAGATCTCATGAAAATCACATATGCATATATTTATAGCGTACAAATATGCAAGCAGGCAGGCAGATACAAAGATGCGTTTGAGCGGCTAGAGAGGGAGAGTACCAATGGTAAAGCAACTAAACATTTTCCCAAGAAAAGAAGAAAGCTCTGCATAGCTGCAATAGGTTTTAAGATTGATCTTCCTCAAATATGGAGCACCATCCATGCTAACCTTCACGTAAAGGCAGCCTAGTCCCGATTTTCCCTCGACATCATCGTTGTTTTTAGATAAATTGGTGGTGGCTAGGGTGTTCTTCCGGAAAGATTGAATTGGTGGCCATCCCAGTAATTGTGCCCTGTTAAGAAACATAAGATTAGTCAGTTCATATAAGTTATCAAGATAAACGAAGAAAAGAAAACGGCTTTGCTAAATGATGCGAAGAATGAATTAGGTGCTAGAAGTACCTGATTCTTGAAGTTAACAGTAAATAATCCAGATATAAATATGATTCAAAGAAATAACAGGGGACATGGATTATCTTACTGTTTAATTACTGATGACAAAGTGTGAAGAAAATGAAGTTCAAGTTCGAGATAATGCCATTTAAGATGGAGAACTGAAAATTGACAGCCAACACCTTTCTAAATAACAATTAGAGGCAAATTAATTCAATCACTCATACTTTATTACAGTCAAATATCACTTTAAACCATAATGCCTCTTTGTGAAAAAATATATACAAAGATGAGAAGTACAAAGTGTTTAAGAGAAAGGTTAAACTCACTTTGAAGCAGGAGCAGTGCTATTATTTTCATTCTTTTTATCTTCGACAAGCTTTGCGGGATTAGAGTTTCCAATTTCTTTCCCTGAAGGTCCAGCTAAAGAACATTGCAAAGTATTAGTATTTTCAGAACCACAATTCTCCATATCGACTTCAGATCCACCCTTTAGAGGAAACCCCCATTTTCCAGATTCATCAATAGCATCAGAAAAAACCCGTTTAGCACCTGAAACAAAGTTCTTCAAAAGGATTTGTGAAAACCCATTATTGACCTCATCCTTCAGATCTTTCCCAAAAAGAGAAACCCCAGTTCCAGCCTTTTTTTCATGAAAATCTGAACCAGGTAAACCCAGTCTCAGCTCAGTTTCTTTGAGGTTCAAAACACTGTTTTTCTCACTTTCTGTAGAAACAATGGAGGAGGAAGAAGGATTTTCCATTGAAGAAGAGTCTGTTAAACCTATATAATCATGTTCTTCAGGGAAAGACATCAAATTTAGCTAAAAACAGAAGGCGCAAATGAACACTAAAAAGAGAAATCAAGAAAATTATTGAATGATTCTTGAAAATACAGAGAATGGGGCTTCTTCTTCCTTTTTTTTCTGCTTTGGTGTCCCTCCAAAAGGGGCTGGTGCTGGTTTTTGTTGATACGGAAAGGAAGCTTCTTCGGCCTCTGTAGCCTTTTGGTTTTGTTTAATCAATGGATTTAATAAAGCAATATAATTTTTGGAATACTTTAGGTTTGCAATAAACTACAATTATTCCATTTGCTTCCTTCAAAACAGTATAATATAAGCATTGGAAGAGTATATTTTGCAATTTCAGCAGAATAACAGAAACTGTCTACACAAAAAGCATTGATTTACAATAGTATAGTTCTCTTTGGTGTCCATATAAAAACAATGCACTAAACTGTCTTAATAAATTTTAAATTAATTATTGCGCTTGTTTGGTGAAAATTAAAATCGAATTTTTAAAAGCTTTTGATAATAAAAAAAATGATGAAATGTATGGTTAAAAAGTCATGGTTCTCATGAATTATGTGGTTAAATTAATTCTTAATTTAAATTTAAATCTAAAATTTAATCCCTAACAAACAAAGACTTGTATATATTATTAGTTCACGTTCAATCATATATTCTCAATCCTTATTTTATTCATCGTAACTTTGATAATTTCTAATACGTTAATCTTATCACTATATTGCCATTCAACTACTCAACATTTGTTACTATACATTATAAACATTATAATATAATAGATAGTTAAATATGCCTATCGGCATTAAGCGTTATTGCGTTAATAAGCATTGAGACATAAATCATTCAACTCGTTAGCACAATGTACTTTTATTCATGACGGGATTTGATCTCAAACTTCTTTTCAGGAGGATAGATAGGATGATTTGCATATTCAATATTATCTCATCGTGTATATTATATTCCATTATCGGCAGACGGGCTTAACCAAAAAATTACTTTTTAGCTTTAGTTTTTTAAGTACAAGAAATATTAGAAAAATGAAATGAAAATATAAGCCACGTTTGCTCCCATTAATTTTCATTCTATTATATTTTATTTTTCTCTTTCATATTTTCAATCGTACAATTTTTCATAAAATAATATTACACGTAAATGAAAATTTTTCTTTCTTTTTCAACTACTCATTTTTCAAAAACTATTATTTTAATCAATTTCATTTTCATAAAATGGGGCAAACGGGGGAAAGTGTGTGTCCCAATATGAAAGGAAATAAAGTAGCTTTAACGGTGTCTTTTGTCACCTTTTCCAATCCGGCAAAAGTGCTAAACCCACCGACAACTCAATCAGAATCCTCGGCCAATGCCTTTAATCATTTTTCTTAATTCTTATCCTTAATTACTTATATTAATGAAAATGTTATGCTAACATACACGGTTTTTTCTGAGGCTTGCGTGCATTAACGCGGGCGCATGTTAGCGAGTAGAATCAAAATGGAACCGCACGGAATCGACAGTGATAGCAGATAGTAAAGGCAAGCGATTAACAGCAGAAAGACAGCGATTAATCGACGGATAAAAACACAAGTAAAAGTGGAAGAAACAAAAAAAGATAATTCCGTATATCTGCCCATTTTGAAAGCTAGCTGCTCCAAGAATTTCTTGGATTTCACCAACAAAACAAAAATTAGAAGAAAAAAAATGGAAATTACACTAGATATCAAATTTTAGGTTTGCATTTACAAAAATGTCACTTTTTTGAAGTCCTTGCAAAAGTGTCAACTTTGGACATTTTTGCCCCTCTAGATGATTTTCATACCTAACATGTCCTTCATTAAATGAGATTTGACTAGATAATGAAATGATACAAAAAGTGTGCAGATGGTAGGGAAGAAATCAAGTGCATTTGGAATTTTTTATTTTTAAGAAAAAAGGCTAAAACATAAGATAAAAACAAACCATTTCTTCCCTTCAAAACGTCAACTACCCAAAAAAAACCCCTAAACCCACTCTCATCACTCATTCGATTTGCCCACACCACTGAAGTTGTTGTCAACAATAAGCATGAAAATGTCCACCGCAGACGAAGACCACAAAAAATACAAACGTAATTTATCATTCGAGTACTCAATTAACTGTGTGGGTGGAATATAAGAATATAGCTTGGGTCACAGCCAAAGTAATCGATTTTTTTGGTAAACAAGTTCAACTCTTGACAGTCTCCGGTAGAAAGATGATTTCTTTTGAATTTTTATTGTTTTGATTTTTGTGAATTGGCAAAAAAAAAAAAATGAATTAGGTTGATTTTGGTTTTAATTTGAATTTTTATGGCCAGTTACTCTTGAATTTTTTTGGCCAGTTACATCACCAGCACGTTTAATGGAAGATAACATTCCCAGTTACTTCAGGACTGTTTAAAGAAATTGGTGCATTTTATGATGGAGAAAGTGTGGGAGAAGATTAAAACGTCGATAGCAATGCAAGTGCGCAATAAATTGCCATTTTGTAAGAAATTATGTATAGTATTTTTTGGTTGGGATGATTTTGATCATGTCCTTTGCTTACGCGTAGCAACAGCATGTCCATAATAGATAACCACAGTAGTGTATTTTTGGAAGTCACTATTGTTCCCAACTGTCGAGAATTACAGAGACCATCTGTCAGGAACGACATATAAACTTTCGGGGCCTAATGTTGGATTTTTGCTGGTGAATTGTCGTGTTATGGAAATTAATTTTCCATTTCGACAAACTGTTAATCGAAACTAATGGAACCATAATGATCGGTTAAGTTTATAATGAAAATAATGCATTCATCCTGTTTGTGCTAATGTAACCATGATGATCGGTACTTTACTTGTGAAACATAACGACCAATTTTTTGTTGATATATGATAATAACAACAAATTAATAACATTAGTTCGGAATGAATACTGCATAGTGGGAACATTTTCGGGATTACATTTAACAACCACTTTTACCACCAATTTAAGTTTTCATCGTCGCCTATTTTGGTCGGAGGTATATTCAAGTTGGGGACTTTGAACTCCAATTCAATTTGAGTGCAGGGATCAAGAACACCAAGTTTGTCCTTCTACCTTAACAAAAAGTTCGGTTACGGTAATACTTGTCGGCACCAGAATGGAAGTGGTTTTGTCTTATCTCCACTTCTATTCGTTATCCGTATAAACAAACTTTTCCCCATGTGACACGATAAATCTCAAATTATTACTCACACTTGAAATGTTGAGATTACAACGGTAAAAATTCAGAATCAATAGGTTGACATTTAATAGCATGAAAGTAGCACTACATTATACGTAAATCCGTACAATAGCAAAATGTCAAATCAAGGGTTTTCATCGTTTTGAAGTGTTCAAATTGACAGTAAAACTGTATATCCCGACAGTTTGTAAATGTCGGGTTTGACATTTCAAACGTCTAACCCGACGGTTTGTAAATGTCAAATTCGACAGTTGAAATGTCGAAAATGTTGAAAAGCAGACAACAGTGGATGGAACTCAGGCTTCTTCAGCACAGCACATTAAGTATTGTCATTATTATTGAGCTACCAAATGACAAAATGAAAAGTCAGATTGACCTTGTCATTAAAGAGACATTTAATTAAAACAGTGTTTAGTTTGAATGGAATAAATTACTCAAAACCTTAATGGTGATAATGACATTTTGTAGTTTATGGAGAAGATGGAGAAAAGTTAAGGTTTGTAGTTTATGTTTCATTTTTAAATTTCTTTTACCCTTTTTTATTAAAAAAAATTCATATTAATCAATAAAATACACATTTATCCATTTTTTTTCTAGTAGCTCACCTTTGAGATTGATAAATAGCTTTTTTTGTTGCCTTGTTGATGATGGAATGGAGATGATGAAGAAAAATGTAGGGTTTCTATTCCTATGTGTGTGTGTGTGTGTTTTTTTCTTAAGATTTCACCCATTTTTTAATAAAAAATTCATATTCTACAATGTAATAATCATATCTTCAATGTTAAAAATAAATAAAATAAATAATCACAGCACGCCATTAATTGCATTTAAATCAAGTATTTATTACTCCTAAAAGGGTGTTAAAGGGTAAAATGGACATTTTGCAGGAAAAAGTGACATTTTTGAAAAAAATTGGTGCAAATGAAATTTTTTTGTATATTTTCAATTTTAGTGACATTTATGTAAATTTCCGTTAGAAAAATCAAGTGGCATAATCAAGAGCACGATTTGGCTTCCATCATAAGTTGCTTTCTTAGAAATTAAATACTATTTAAGTTTGGTTTGGTATTACTGCAAATTTTAAGCGAAAAAGCTATGTGCTAAAAAAGGAATAGGAAAGCTTATATATTTCAAGATAGTGGCTTACATAATTTTAAACACGTCAAACATGTTCGAAGTGTGATAAAATTAGGTATTACTAACTTGTCATTGCATAATTTGATTTTAAGAACAATATGTTGATGAAAATTCTTGATATTTTTTTGTTCTATACGTAATTTATAAGATGTATGAGTGATATGAGACTCAAGTTATAAGTCCATACATATTCTAGTAAAATACTTTTTCATTAATTTTTCAACAATTACATTTGAAAATTTCTTCCTTATGTGACATGAGACCATACAAAAGCGATTCTTTTCTACCCAATATTTGACCGGAACAATATAGGGGATCTAGTGAATTGAGGTAGTAACTCTACACATTCACCATGGAGCAGCAATTTCAAACTTAAAAAAAAGGTTGAACCCCAACCTTGAAGGTCTCCACCGCCTCGTTCCTAGAGATTTGTGAGGGAGATAAATCGCGGAATGTGCCCCAACAGGTAAAGGAACAAAAGTTGCATGTACACTACGCCTACAAGGAGTCCAATTTCATATCTCAGGAATCGAATCTCTACATTGCGACTGCCAGCAAGGTATGAGATAACATCACTCTTATCCTTTGCACCACTAAACTAAGCCTCGAGGGACAGCAGCAATTTCAAACTTGACTATGAATATGGTGGATGTACCTTGAGAACCCATGATGAGCAAAAGCTACATGTGAGTACATGATATTATCTTTTTACATTATTTTTATATTGTACACCAAATCTCGTGACTGGCTAGGAACTACCTAATATGGTTGATTTATTGAAATTAAGAGCCTGTTTGACAATTATTATTATTATTTTTAAAAGTTTTAAATAGTGATATTTAGGAGAATGTGTGGTTAAAAAATAGAAAAAAAATTTGATATACGTGTAAAAATCTTATTGTGTGAAGGTGTGGTTGAAAA